CCAACAATCTCCCACTTGCTCTAATCATGAACTGCTAAACATCTAATGCCCATATCCCTAACATGACCCTCATGCTTCGACGAAGGGAGAGGCTTCATCAACGGATCAGCAATGTTGTCATCTGTCGACACTCTGCAAATGTGCACGTCTCCTCTGTCGTTTACAAACTAAAATTTGGTTCTTTTTATTTCAAAGAATAAAACTAAAATTATGTCAAATTTGTTTAGTATATATATTTTATTATAATAATATTGCGTATAAAATCGGTCAATTTTTTATATAAATAAATTTGAGTTGTAACCTTATTTATTTAGATCTTTTCATTTAGTCCGACATCTATTTGGTAAATTTATTTTTGATTATTTTTATCATCCTGATTTGATTTATCTGACCTTTCACAGACCATCATAAGCTCTTGATTCTACAATACAATCATTGACTTAGTTTTTTATGTATGACAAATTTATCATCATCTTATAAATCATCCATTATAAAAGTTTTGATCTAAAAGAAATTAGCGACATCTACGAGACCTAAACTCTGATACGATTTGACCTTTTTACCCTTTTATTTACAATATGCAAATTCAAAACTCGGTTCGATAAGTCTTTGTAAGACCTACAAAATAAAAATTCTGTAAAACTTATGGGAACCTTACCCGATGAAACTGATATTTCACATTATTTTCCACCAAAACCTTAATAATTCTATGGTTTTAATGAGATTCATTTTAGATTTATCCCGCGAGTTTTCGATTTAGAACTTAGAGGATCTTACTTATATACAAAGTTGAATCTTCGTAATGAAAGCGGAACTTTATTCCCACATGATAAGATGAATAAATGGTGAAGAACCATATGGATTACGATTTTCATGTTTATGGTCATTGGTAAATAAAATATATTATATATTTATTATATTTTCAAATAAATTTAAATATAACATATATTTTAAAAAATTCATTTAAATTTTTTGCGCGGATTAAATATATATGCAAGTTTTAAATAATTTTATTATTAATTTTAAAATTTCATATAATATATTTTATTTTTAAATTTATCTTATAAAATTATATACAAACTAAGATTTAGTCACTTTTATCCTAAAAATTAAAACTAAAATTATATAATATTTGTGTGTTATATATATTTTTCATCATAATTGATCTAATTCTATTTTAAAATATGCACTTATTTCTTTTCTAAAATATGTATTGATTTTTTTTTCTAAAATATATATTAGTTTCTTTCTAAAAGATGAAATGAGTAAATGTATGAATTTATAAAACAATAAAGGAACTTATATATTTCTATTCTAAACATTCTATATATCTCATTATCTTTATATGCATATAAATAATAATACGAACAATATTCCATATATCGATGATCTTTCTATTCGGCCCTTATGAATTATCCTTTAGAGAGAAAATAAAAATTTAATACATTGAACATAAAAACCGTTTTTTAATTAGAAATTGATTATTCAATTGATTGAAAAATCTGCAATATTATAATAAGGAATTAATTATTCAATTGGCCAAAAATTCTGGAAAAAAATATTTCATATTCTAACAAGGGACACGTGTCTCTCCCATATTAATCTACTATACTTTTATATAAGATAAGATTGAGGTGTCACAGATACATTTTTGAAGATTTTGTTATGAATTTCCATAAATAAAGGATTCATTCGATTATTCAAATATTTATTATTACCATATAAGTTTTATTATTTTGGCGATTTGATCACGAAAATATCTATAAAAAAAAAAGAAATAGAATCCCTCAACAATTAAATACTAGGTATCTCCAACCAAAACAGTCAAGTTTCAGTGGATGATCTTATTTTATTTCCAAAAACAAAATCCCCGTAATTTCGTCTCTATTCAATTTTAACCCCATCGTTTTCCTATAAATACTCTCCATCATCACCTAGAGTGGTCACAAGTAATAAGGCAGCTACTACATATCCTAAATTCTAAGCTTATCATCAGCAGCTCTTCAGCATTCAGCAATGGCTAACGCCTGCAAGCTCCTCGCCCTTGTTCTCTTCTTCGCCCTTGTTGCCAAAGGTACACATACGTACATACATATATATATATGCTATGATGACATGCACATGATCGATGTGCATATATACGTGCAAGCCACATCAATGTTCCGTTTCAAAATTTGGTCCATATCAAAGAATTCTTTGCATCCAAGATCATTGTTCCTACTACATTTTCATCTATATTGTACGGTAAAACATAAACATAATAATATATCAAAGTGGCATCGTATTATGTTTTGTCCTTAACTATGATCACTAAAGATATATTTGTTTTCACAATATCGAAATATTAAAAGCTAATTTCGCCGGGTTTTTTTTTTTCGAACGGGCAGGATACGGGCAATGCTCGGTGGATAACCTAAGCCTGGGGCAGGCGAAGACGGGGCAGACGGTGAACGGCAAACCCGAGTGGAAAGTGAGTGTGAAGAATCCATGCCCATGCACCGTTATGAACTTGAAGTTGTCTTGTGTCGGGTTTCAGTCTGCGTCTTCCATAGACAGCTCTGTTATGTCCAAATCAGGCGATGAATGTCTACTCAACGGCGGCTCCCCTCTTGCCCCTATGTCTGTGTTCTCTTTCAACTACGCTTGGGACTCCAGCTTCGATCTCACGATCCTCTCTGGTCAACCCCATTGTTCTTAGATTTTTACTTTATACTCTTATATATATATATATATAAGTATCTTTTTCATCTTCTTGTTAGAAAAAAAAAACATGAGATTTTGATTTGCAAAATCGTAATAAGAGAGAGAGCGAGCGGTTTATGATATGTCATTAGGGTTTTAACGGCTTGAGTTGTTACAATTTATTTGAATAAACCCTTGTCGATAATCAAAATTACCCTATTCTCATGCGGCCGAGTGACTCAAATTCGAATTCAGATTTATAAAACAAAGATTAACAATAAAAGGGGATATATTTTATATAAATATGCCCGAACTAATTACATAAAATCATTATATTTATATATATGTATATGTATATATATGTATATATATGTCAAAATTTATGATTATTTTTAAATTTGAAAAACATCTCTGATATTTATTAAACATTATATAATTATTTTTAATTTTTTAATAATATTTGGATTTTGTTACCCGAATTTACTTGAACATTTTATGAGGCTGGACACTCATAAATATAAGATTGGATTTTAAATACTAATACGGGTATATACCCATTAGTATGATCGCTTTGTGTAACAATTTGGGTATATTCGTAGAATTACCCTTTCCATTGAATTTTTTTTTTGAAATAGGAAATATACATTCAGTTTCCTAATATGTATAAGTTAATTGTTCTTGCGACGCACTACATAAATATGTATTTCCTTATTCGTTAAAATGCACTTTCCATTTTTTATGAGATTAAATCTCGTCTCATTAATGACAAATAAATCTATTAATGGAATATACACACATTGGTTTCTGTATAAATATTTTGTTTTCCTCATTCAGTTCTTCTAGATATGGAATAAAAATCTAGGTTGCATACGTTTCGTGTAACCATCATTTTAAAAAATAAATTAAATTTATTTTTGCACGTATATATGCACATCGATCATGTGCATGTCATCATAGCATATATATATATGTATGTACGTATGTGTACCTTTGGCAACAAGGGCGAAGAAGAGAACAAGGGCGAGGAGCTTGCAGGCGTTAGCCATTGCTGAATGCTGAAGAGCTGCTGATGATAAGCTTAGAATTTAGGATATGTAGTAGCTGCCTTATTACTTGTGACCACTCTAGGTGATGATGGAGAGTATTTATAGGAAAACGATGGGGTTAAAATTGAATAGAGACGAAATTACGGGGATCTTCTAGATATGGAATAAAAATCTAGGTTGCATACGTTTCGTGTAACCATCATTTTAAAAAATAAATTAAATTTATTTTGACCAGTAAATGAGCAAAATGGAAAAACGTAATTAATGAATGATTCTTTCTATATATTTTAGATCCTGTGCAATTATGAATCTGCTCTTTAGTTAAATACAATGGATTTGAATATTAAATATATATGTAAATTTCACATATATATATATATATATGCACATGTATATGTAGAAAAAATTGCCAAACTCGAAAACATAAAGTCGAAGTATCAAAACTCCAGAGAAAAAATGGCGGCTCCTCTCAAATCTTTGGCTGCTTTTCTTCTTCTTCTTCTTCTCTGTATGGTTAGTGGAGGTACAAAGAAAAACTCTATGTCCTTCTTCCTTTGATTTCTAATATATACATACACACATAGGGTTTGGATGCATTCGGTTGATTTGGAACCGTTAGTTGATTTTAATCGGTTTGATTCGTTTTGGTTACGATTGGATATAATTAGGTCTATGAAAAATTATATTCGAATAATAATCAAATATAAATTTGATTTGGTTTGGTTTGACTTGATTGTTGTGATATATATAATTCAATTCAGATCGGTTATAACCGGTCAATGAACAAACAAAACTTAAAAAATAATGCATTACAAACAAATAAAAAACATCAAACATTATATGTGTCTCTAAATTAGATTGTCTATACATCACATATAGAATATGGTATGTATGTGTGGTTAATGCATCATATATATATATATATATTGTATATACTAGCGCGTGGGAAACGTAATTAAAACGAAAAAACAGGAAGGGGTTGCACATACAGCGGGATTCAGATCGGGACGGAGAGAACCGGGAGGGAGATAGAGGGAGAAGTGGAGTGGAAAGTGACGGTGACAAACACGTGCGACTGTCTGCAGAAGCACGTGACGCTGTCGTGCAAAGGGTTCAGTCCGGTGAAGAGAGCGGAGCCGTGGCTGATGCTTCAGCGAGGAGACAGTTGCCTTCTGGTCAAAGGAGAGGCTTTGCCCGCCAAAGCTTCCGCTCAGTTCACTTACGCAGGCCAGCCTTACATCTTCAGGCCCATCGGTTCCATGGTGGACCCCAGTTGCAACAAGCCCTGATCTTCATATGATCTGCCTCTCTCTAGTTTTTTTATTTTTTATTTTTTATGAAATGATCCAAAAATAGCTTACTATAAAATACGACACGACAAGGAAGACACGTGTCAATATACATTTGAGAAAATTTTGGGATTGTGAAATTGAGTTTTTGATTTTCGTAATCAAATTTTGACCATCTACGGATATTAACGTCATTCGGTCCACCCAATATTAATAAGGCATCCGACTTAATTACACAAATTCTTACACTAATCTATGAATATTTTTGTCGAGTAATTTGTATAATTATTTTTTAATAAAAAAAATCTATGAATAAATCAGATTTTTTTATACTAAAATCTACAACACTGATTTTGATTTTTTATTTGATTTTTTAAAAAAGAAATGGCTTATCGGATTTTTCATAGAAATAAATTAATAAATCTTGACTGAAGATTTTTTGGAATTTTAACTAACAAAATATTTTTCACAAACAGAAATGGATTCCTCATCGAATAAATCTTGACCAGCGAATGCATATTCGAAAGACGATTTGGTTGAGAAGAGGCCTATAATGAAGATTCGAAGGTATGTTTGTTGATTTCACTTGTCACACGATCATACATCATACATCATAGTAGTGAGTGATGCAATTCACTAGGGGTTTTGCAATGATAAGTTCGTTGCAAAAGCTTCTATTTCATTTCAAAATAGAGTTTGTAACGAAATTGCAATGAAATCGGTTTGGCTACGAAATAAATCATCGCAAAAACAGAATCGTTGCATTTCATTGCACAATACAACAAATTTCATTACAAAAAACTATCGAATTAAACGGATTTTTCTTACGGATGTATCCATTGAAATATTTGTAATGGAATTTCAACGGATATTCATTGGTTTATTTTCGACGGTTTGACCGTCACAATCTACGACATAATAATTCATCGGTAATTCTGACGGATTATCGACCGGATTGGGTTTGCGACAACGTTGTATCAACGGAATTCGTTTCGTCACACTCCATCGCAAGGCTTTATTTTCGACGAATTTTTTTCCTACGTACGACGGATATTTCCTTCGCAATAGATAGTGATTTTTGTAGTGATCATAAGCTTTTTCAAGATCGATAAATATCATATGCGAATCTTTCTTAATGTCTAAAATTCTCTGTCAAATTACTAATGAGTAGGGATGTTAAAGGGGATGGTCCGAGCCGACTCGTCACGAGCTCGCCATTTTATTGGCTCGGACCAAATCGAACCGTTTGTAAATGGGCTGAAATTAAGTAGTCTGATCCGGTTCGTTAAAACTCATGGGCTAAACGAGTCGGTTCGCAGGCTAAAAAAATACAAAATAAAGTAATAAATCATGCTAAAATAATTAGTTGTTCCGAAAAAATCTTATAAAACATTACCAACAATAATGTCTTAAACCATAAAATATTAAAAACTCATACAAACCATTACCAATAAAAGATAAAATCATTACGAATAATGTCTAAAATCATTCATAAAAATTAAGATTAGATAAAAACTAAAAAAATGATGCGGCTCGGGGTTGGCCCGGCTCGAACCAGTCCAGTTCGTCACGAGCTCACCATTTACTGGCTCAAACTAGACCTGACCATTTGTAACGGGCTAAAAAATGTCTAAAACAGCTCGGCACTAAACGTTCTGGTTTAGAGTCGGCTCGCGAGCTAATGAGAAAGAATACTTCCATAATAGATCTTGCGGACATAAAACCAAATTAGTTTATGAAAATAAATATATCGCTACATAATCGCCGTTCCACAATATTTTTCCATGATTTTATGGTATAACTCAAGAGATTGATGTCTCTATAATTTGTATAACTTTGGATATATCTCTTATCTTCAAATATTGGGATTAAATTGTTTTATCTCCATTCATTTGGCGTCTCTTTAACAATATAATTTTATTAAAAACCTAATAAACAATCTCGCTTCTCATAAACAGTTTTATACTTCGATAGGTATACCTATCGGTATTTTTCTCTTTATAATATTTTATATAATAAATTTTTAATAGAAAATAAAATAATCTATTAAAAATACAGACTTCTACGTGAAAATGCAGGAAAAAAATTATGATTTTTACTTGTTTTCTTAAACCATTTATCCAGTTTTTAAAAAACCAAATATATAAAATCTTAACAGAGTTTTATTTTTCAATTTTAAAATCTCGAAAAACTCTATCCATCCGATGTCTATATTTGAAATCATTAAAATCAAAACAATGGAATGGTTATAGTGGTAAAAAAAAATTAAAGCTTTGTAACGACAATTTCCCACTGTACATTTAATTTTTAACTACAACGAATTAAAAACAAAATGGAAAAAAATTCTACTCAGCGCCGGAAAAATTCAGGCTCCCAAGAAGGTGAAGGAGAAGAAGAAGAAGAACCCTAGAAAATGGTGATGGACTCTACAGAACGCGAGAGAGGGAGGGAGGAATAAAACCTCTAACCACGAAACGTGGAAGCTATGTGATCCGAACATGGGTTGTATTAACTTAGCTCGCGTCGTACAATGTCTCCGTACAGACATCATCCTCAGAAGAAGGTACCGTGTTTAGATCAGGCAGCAAGAAGAAGAAGCTTCCATCAGAACAGCCGCTTCTGCAATAACCTGAGATGGGTTCTTCTTCGGCCAGAGAAGTCTCGTGCCTCCGCGAAGGGATCGGGTTGCAAGCCTGATCGAGATTTGATTCTATGATCAGATCGTGATCTTGGATCGCACAATCTGATCTCAAGTCGAACTGAAACGCAGCGGATTACAAGATTCTGGTTTAGTTACAGACCAAAATGAAGGAGAGAGGAGAAGAGAAATCTGACAAGTTCTAATAACCTTAATCCTCTTCAAGATTTCATTTGTTGCTGTCTGTTCCTTTATATTGGTTCGCATGGTTGCTATCTCCTGTTCAACGCGGGCTTCATCAAAATTCAACAAAGCTTTTCACAGGGAAGAAAGAAACAAAGAAAGAGGGAAACGCCCACCATTTCCAGACTCGATCTTTCATTCAACAGCAAGTTTTCTTCGTCTTTGAGCTCAGGAAACGTCTGGGAAATCATCAGGAAATGGATAGAAAAGCATAAGAGAAATACCCAACAAAGAAGGATTTGATTTAGTAATCGCTTTCAATGAGGAATATGAGCATAAAGTTACCTTCTTTCTCTTAGATCTCTTAGAGAAGGAACTGATTATTTCATTTGCGGGGAGAGCCTGCAGTTGGCATGAAGCACGCATTGATTAGCGTATAGCTTTACCATAATATATATATATATACATATAGGAATTTGAAAATATAACGAATATTAAATGCAAAGCAGAAAATTTTAATGGAAAAAAGGGTCAAATTTTCGAGGGCTGCAGACAAAGCACCCAAAAAAAGAAGATATGCCCATCAAAAGCAAATGAAAAAAAAAATGTGAGCACTCAAATGTCATATTTATTGGCTTCAAAACCAATTTCCCAAATTTTGTGCAAGGTTAGGTCAAATGACATTAGGTTCAACGAATCGATGCACGCCACGTCATGATAAAATCATGCCATAGCAGAGCATCACACATGAAACCATCATCATTATCGATCCATATGGATTAGGTGACCGTGACCCATCCTATCCTAGTCCTCAAAACGACAACGTTTAATGACCCACGATCTCTAACCATAAACATCACTGTCCCCCCCCCCCAATCCTATGGAGTCATGGACTTTACACAATCACCAATATATATTCGCAACTATACAAATCCACTGCGAATATTCACCTAATTAGTCAGATTTACATATATTAAGCCATATGTAAGCTTCATCGGGGAGATCCATCGTCAAAAATGGAGAAACACCAGATTTTGTCTTTTTACCCCTCGAAGCCTCGCGGGTCCCCCGGCCAGTTGCGGTGATTGGGAGAGCATTAAGCCATGGCACGGTGATTGTCAGATGACGAAAACACCCTCAGATGGCGAAAAAAAAGCCAAATCCGAACAACATTAGAATTAAAAAAAAAACTTTGACCCTGCATGGAATGGATTTATCTCTTTCCCCGAGCTCGAAGAATGACGACAAGACGTTACCTGCAGCAGGTTCCACCGTTATTACCCCGCAATGAAACGCGCGGGAAACCGTAGCTTTTCCGGCGGTCGGTATTTGGCCTAAACAGCGTAACCGGTGAACGGTCAGCGACGGAAGAAAACCGGTGACCTTAAAAAGAGAGGGACTATGAAGTCGATTCCGGTGAAGGGTATTTGGGAAAGCCATTATGTAATGATTCTCGGAACCTCCTTTGGCACAACTACGCACACGTGACCGACGAGGACTGCCCCGGTTATCGGCGAGATCGAAACGGAAAACCCGGAAATGACTAATTTGCCCCTCTCAGCAGATGACGTAAGCAAAACCCGGAAACCGGAGAGGTGTGAACTAACCACGCGCGTCTCTGGCGCGTGCACCGATCAGACAACGTCGGAGACGAGAGAGAGGGGAAGGAAGCGATACCTTGGATCCGGATCCTGCAGATGTGGAGCAGCTAGCTTGACGGCTGGTCCCCTCGAATCCATCGGCAGTTGCGGCGGAGGAAGGAGAAACGGAGCAACGGCCACTTCCGGATCCGCCGCTCCACGATAGCGGAGTCATGGGACTGCCTCTGACGGAATCCGCCTCCTTCTCCATCGGGCCTCCGGCAACGAAGACGCCGGCTATTCTCGAGTAACGAGATCGCCTCTGACGAACGCCCCACCGAAATGGAGGCAGGATCACCTCCGGATTCTCTGACGCCGTCGTCTTCGCCTGCTTCAGCCTTAACAGAAGCTCCGCCACCATCTGGTCGCACATCAGCGCAGCCGTCATCCACTCGTCCTTCATCCTCGTCATAGCCGACGACGACGAAGCGTTGGTCATCGACGCTGGTCTCCTGGAATCTTCAGCTAACACGTAGACGAGGCGAGGGAGATAATGAATGGAGAGAGAGAGAGAATGGCGAAGAAAGAGAGAGATAGGAAGTTGAAAAAATCGAAAAGGGGCGAGAAAGAGACGAGGCCTTTATTCCTTTCCTTTTGTTTATTTCATTATTTTAATTTTGCAAATCATATTAAATTGTGAAATTGATCTTTTTTTCATCATATAATTATATTATTGTTCATGGAAATATTGTAAGAACGAGTTCGTGCTTTTCTTGCCACATTTAAAGTAATTAAATATAACAATAATGATAGTTTCAAAAACTTTCGAAGATTAAGGGATTTAAATTATAATTAAGGGTGATGATTTTAAACGGAATTTTCTAAGATTTAAGGTTATAAAGACTTAAACCACGGCCCATCAACCACCATACCACCATTACCCTTCACTTTTAGGACGGGACGTTTCAGAATTCGGTTTAAAATTAGGAAAATTTACATAAATGTACAAAAAAACGTCTTTGCATTCTATATTTCTATTATTGTAATCCTTCTATTCTATACTTTTTTTAATTTAAAATAACCATCATACTCTTCTATATTATTACAACCTGTAGATTTCCTTCATTTATAAAAAAACTATTTGTATGAATTTTGTTTTTCTCCACATACATGAAAAAATACTTATATAGATTTTATTTTCTTATATACGTATAGAAAAATATTTGCATGGGTTTCGTGAAAAAACACTTGCAGGTCAGCAGGTCATCAGGCCATCAAGTTAGTAGGTCAGCAGGTCACCTGCTGCATGTCGCAGGTGATCTGCCGCATATCGCAAGTCATCTGTAAGTCTGTGATATATCGCAGGTGACCTGCCGCATGTCGCAAGTGACCTACCGTCGTTTTGTGTTTCACGAATTTCATCAAACACCTCGTGTGCAGAAAAGAAAATGATCATATGAATACTATAGAAAAACAAAATAGTATTTGATTAGATGAGATAAACTGTAAGAAATAGAGAAAATAGAAAAAATATGAGAAAAACAGAAGGACAAATCTCAAAACGCATTGATTTCTAAAAGACAAATTATCACATAATCGCAGAGAGATATAGACGAGAAGATTTGGTCCAACCAGCAAAAGGATCGAGAGAATAGGTAAATGGATATGGTCGTTGTTACCGTTAATTATTTGGTCGCGTTTACATTATGTTCAACGATCGTAGTTATCGTTAATTATCTAGTCGTATTTGTATTATGTTTGTAGTACAATCATGGTCGTAGTTAGTGAAATCACGGTCGTATTTATCTGGTCGCAGGCCGTAGGTCGCAGGTGCGATAGGCCGCAGGTCGCAGGTCGCAGGTCGCAGGCTGCAGATGACCTACCGCGGACCGCAGATGACTTGTCATAGGCCGCAGATCACATACTGGAACCTGCCGTCGTTTTCTGTTTCAGAAATTTCATCAAACATCTTGCGTGCAGAAAACAAAATAATCATATGAATACCATAGAAAAACAAAATAATATTTGATTAGATGAGATAAAATATAAAAAATAGAGAATATAGAGAAAATATTAGATAAAACAGAAGGACAAATATCAAAACGCATTGATTTTTGAAAGACAAATTATTACATAATCGGAGAGAGATATAGACGAGAAGATTTTGTCCAACCAGCAAAAGGATCGAGAGAATAGGTAAATGGACATGGTCGATGTTACCGTTAATTATTTGGTCGCGTTTTCATTATATTCAACGGTCGTAGTTATCGTTAATTATCTAGTCGTATTTGTATTATGTTCGTAGTATAATCATGGTCGTAATTATCTGGTCGTAGTCGTAGTTATATGGTCGTAATGAAATCACGGTCGCAATTATCTAGTTGTAATGAAATCAGAGTCGCAATTATCTGGTCGTAGTCGTAGTTATATGGTCATAGTGAAATCACGGTTGCAATTATCTGGTCGTAGTCGTAGTTATCTAGTCATAAAGAAATCACGGTCGCAATTATATGGTCGTAGTCATAGTTATATGGTCATAGTGAAATCACGGTCGCAAGCCGCAGGTCGTAGGTCGCAGGCCGCAGATCGCATGTGCGACTGATCGCAGATACCGCAGTTGACCTGCCAGATGACGCAAGTGACCTGCCGCAGGTCAAATGACCTACCGCGGACCGCATATGCCGCTGGTACCGCAGATGATCTACCGCATGTGCCGCAGGTCGCAAGTGCTATAGGTGCCCCAAGTGACCTGCCGTAGACCAAGTGACCTAACTCAGACTGCAGGTCATTTACGGCATATCACAGATTATCTGTCAGACTGTAGGTCATTTAACGCAGAGCGCATGTCATTTTTCGCAAATCGCAGGTAATCTGCCGCAGTTTTCTGGTACAAACATTTCATCAAACATCTTATGTGCATGCAAAAAAATATCAGAATATCACAGAAAAAAATCAATGAGAAGAGTATTTGAATAGATTAGATAAACTATATAAAAAATATAGGAGATAGAGAAAATATTGGAGAAAAAAGAAGATCAAATAGCAAAACTTACCGATTTTTAAAAGATAGATTATCACATAATCGTAGAGAAATACTGTAAAGGATAGTTTGTGTATTTAGAAAAAAATTATAATATGTAAAAGTTATTTTTTTGTGAGATATTTTGCAAATTTCATTTTTGTTTGGGTATATTTTGTCAACTGTCCCTTAAAATTTTAATGGTTCGATTGGAAAATGATTTATTTGATATTTTAAAATTTGCACCAAATTAATACGGTATATTTATCCGGTTCGGTTCGGGTTTCGATATGGTTCAGTTTTGGGTTTTATTTAAAAATTTAGACTTTTTTTTAAAAAAAAAAAATCTGTTTTTCAAAAATTTTATAAAGTTTGATTCGATTCTAAAAAATCTGATTCTATAAAAAATATATCGTTCGAAAATTTTATACGGTAAAATTTGAACAAAAAATATCGTGAGTTTCGATTCGATATTGTTGAACTGAAACCGTCATTCCTATTCGCCGTAACAAATCAGCAAAATGAAATGACATAAGGATGTCACTGTTGGGTTTGTTTATAAGAAATTTTATCGGATTTTAAACGCTAACATTAATCTATCCAATAACGTCCGAGGCTAAAATGGGGTTTGTTTTTTCAATTGCTAAAGCGGCGATGGGAAGATGGTGGGTGCATGATTCATGTCGGTCCAGCCTTGATCCGGTCAAAGTTTAAACGTTATCGTTGACTTCTACCCAAGAGCTTGAACTTTGTCTATGATTTTTTTTTTTTTGCTTTAGATCATTTTAATACAAAGGATCTTATGGTGGAGTTGAACAAAAGAAGCCATGTTTTCCTTGGTGGAGTTTTCGGTTTCTTCCCAATCCGAAGAACATTTCCTTCCATTTGTATGAATCATTTTGGAATCGATTTCATTTCCAGACAGATACCTACGAGTTTTCAATGCCCAACCAGATCATCCGGTGGACATCACTATCGAAATCTTGAGTTTTTTTCCCCTTCTTTAGAATTATTTACCTTTGGTTACGAATTTACAGAAACGAAAAGAAATGCGCTGCATCTTTCTGTAATTCATGTTCTGAGATCGTAAACAGAAACAGGTGAAATCAGACTGAAAGAAATAGAGATTGAAACAAGAGATTCACACTTTCAGGTTAACAGAAAGTTAATTTCCATAGATTGAAGATGAAGAGGACAAGACATGAGGGGGATACAGAAACCTAAGACACTTAGTTCTTCTGCAAGCACACGCATCTCTACTGCTTCACCTGATTATGAACCCTAAAAAGAAAACACAAAAGACAGAAACCCAGAAAATTACACAACCCATGATTTACCCAGATTCTAAGAAAACCCATTGGAAGAAAAGAAAACAAGAAAAATGAAAAGCCAGAGCCTATGGACAATACATATCTAAGCAAAGCTCTAACGCCTACAAGAGAAACTAAAACTGTTAGTAGAAATTTCGATCTTCCCCTTGAAAAAATAAGGGAGGATTCGAAATATATCTGTAACGAAGATGCCTCTGCATCTTCTAGTTTCGTCACCGGAGGTTTTGTGGATCAGACGATAGGGTATGGGTTAAGGAGGGATAAGGTGAAATAAGATAACACGGCTGTTCGTCGAATCTTGTCAGATCTCAAGACGGAGGATCCTGATCAGATCGTTGGTCGCATCCTTGGCTTTGAACATCGAGACGCTTTTCTTTGAGCAGAACGCCGGAAGCGGGACATCGGTCGGTGGCGGAGATGTCAGCGTGACGGGACCGGCGTAGAACGATGCCGGAGTTGATTTCGAGCCAGAAAGAAGGATCTGGGTCGACGTCATCTCCGGATCTGGACCGATCCAGCGAGTAGATCCCAGATCTGGGTCATCAACCACAAGATCCATGACTGTCTTGGCGATTTCCTCACCACGCTTGAGGATTCTCACCTGTCCGGCAGCTAGATGGTGATTGTTGTTGTGATGGGTCTTCTTCTTCAAGCCCTTCGGAACGACGGCGGATGTCCCAGGAGGCGGTGGAGCCGCAGCCGGAATCCCAGCCTGAGGACGCGGCGGACTCCGGCGGCGGCGGTTGTTTGGCTGCGGCTTCTTCGGCTTGTTGGGGCAAGCGCTGGGGTTACGGGCATATTTCACGTGAGGGCCAAAGGTATTTGTGGAGAAAGGGCCTTTCAGCACGTCATGAGGATGAACAACGGCGACTCCCATGGCTCCAGAGGAAGAAATGATTCAGAAAACACGGTCGAAATGGCAGAGGGGAGAAAAGAATTTCTTGGGAAATTAGGGGAATCTGAGAGAGAAAATGGAGAAGGGCATAATCGGAAGGAAAATTTTGTGAGGAAATGAAGGGACGGGGAAGGGTATTTTATAGGAACACAATGGCCGGCAGCCTGGCAGTTCCAAACCCCACTCTCGATTGTCTAACGTGAATTACACGCGCTTCACTTTACTTTTCTTTTAATAATGTTTCGAGATATGTGATAATAGGTTTCCAAAATTTATTATACAAATAATAAAGTTTAAAGTAAAGCTATACCCATCTTTATAAAAAAAAAATTATGATTAATTTATAAAATTTTATATCAATATACTTAAATGTATTAATTAAAAAATGAATTAAAATATTATATATTTAAAATCAGTTTTTATAATTAGTTTATATTAAAACCATAAGAATTGAATTCTAAAGAATTGCATCCTGAAATAAATAGAAGAAGTTATACTATTATTAATGAATAAACAATTTATAAATATTATTGATTTGAAAAAATAAATCATTTAATAAAATGAAATTATTCTTTAAAAAATCATTTTACATAATAAAAAAATCTAGAAATCTAACCAAATAAATATGAGAGATATCAAAAATCATTTAAAAATAAAATAATAAGAGAGACTAAATAAAATATAATTATTTTTAACAAAACATTATTTTAAATGAGATTTATTTATTTATAAAATAATATTAAATAAAACATTACTATAAATAAAATTCAAAATAAAAAACTAATATTATGTATCTAACAAATAATCTATATTATTTTTATAAAATTTATATCAACAAGTATTATGATAAAATAATCAGTGCAAAAAAATAATCCGCATATGGAGCAGATCTCCACTTAGTTTGGGTTAAAACCGGCAATCGGAGGTCCAAAAAAGCAGATTTCAAAACTTGGAGTTAGCGTTTAAATAATTTTATAATCTTATTGAACTATAGAAATAAAGAAAAAGAAAGAAATTTTGCTAAACAAGAAACTTGCTTGGAAAATTTTATTTTTCAATCCCAAAAATTCATAAAGATTCAAATTGATTAGTTTGTATTAGAATCTCCAATTTTTCATCTACAACTCGACCTTTGAAAACATTTATGGATTAAATGCTCGTAAACATAGATTGTGTCAAACTAGACATGTGTGATGCGGTATGCACGGACCAAGGAATGGACCGTGTCGAACCGAACAAGATTGTACGTCCGGACTGTATGCCTAGACCGGACCGAATCGAACCGAGAAACTCCAAAATTCTTAAACTCATATCCAAATCGTTTAGAAAATAATTTCTTTCGAATAAATTCATGTTCATACTTTAAAATACGATTTCGTTAAGTGGATTAAATAAACCGTTATTCTAATTTATCTCTATTTCTATAGAGGATGAGAACATGATGCAATATGCATCATTACAATATCATAGTTATATAAAACATGAAATGCATCATTATATACTCAATACAATAGCGAATAAAATATTATTGCATAAGATATATGTTTTATGTGTTAATAATTTAAAAAAATTGGTATCCTCTTAAAAGGAAACGGTATTTTCCCATGACCGAGTATTTTTCGAATTTTATATCATCGAAAGGTATTCTCACCCGTAATGGGTTTAATAATCATTGTTAGTCCAAGTTGTCCGTCCATGCTGATATCTCCCACCTTATTATATAATTCGATAGAGATTGTAAATTATTTAAATAATTGCATAAAAAGGTTACCATTTCCCAACCGTATCCAAGCAAAAATCTTACGGTCCACCTTTGGTCGCTTTCGTCATTACACGTTAATACCTACTCCCTTATCTTTAGATAACTTTTTTCAAATACTTTCATCGTTATTTAAATCATGAAATTAATAAGACGCCTCAACAATTATTAATATATTATTAAACAAAATCGACTGGCAATCTTTTTTGTTTTTTATTATGTTTCGGAAATCATTAGATTATTTACAGGAAATCCCGGATATGCTGTTGAGTTTAAAAATTATAATGAATTTAAATTAAATGATTTTGTTTTTATATATCTTATATATAAAAATACACCTCTTTAAACGAAGGTGTGACACGTGTCCCATGTAAGAATTTAAAAGATTTTTTCGTTCATTCAACTCATATATTAATATTCATCTATATTTAATTTTTTATATTTATTAAATAAAGTTATTTTTTCTAAACAGACAACACTCCCTTCAATAAGTATTTAATACATTAATTTCGAACTTTAATATTTTTTTGTACATACATTCATATAAATATGTTTCGTATGTAATAACTATATACAATTAATTTTAATGTCTTATAACTTTATTTATTCTCTCTATAGATTCCATCAAAAAAGTAAATGTATAGAATAAATTAAAAAAATATATTCACACAATATCTTGAATAAAGAACAAACAAACTGATTCTATTTCTTTATTACGAGTCAGATACACTTCAACTTTTTGCAAGTGTCACTCAATCCATCTCGTTTCATTCCCTCTGAATAAAATCCCTCAAACACAAGAAATTCTATCAGCTCACAGACACTTTGTGTGACGCACACACCACGTGTCATACTAGACTCTGTCTAGAACCTATGAGCGGTTCGTCTGTTGGTTGAAGACTCTCCCTCAGATATACCTCACGTTCACTCAGACTAACTCCTACCCATACAGAAAAACTCTCACAATTTTCATTCTCTCTTTTTCCTCAATTAGTTTCGTCAACCTTCTCTCATGTATCAGACTCTCTCTATATGCAGCTCTACAGATTGTGTATCCATCATTTCTCGAGAGACCCCCTTCCCTCCACTTTTTGTCTCACTCCAATTCTTTAATGTGAAAGCCCCATTCTTTCCTTTCTCCAATGACTTCACATTCTCTTGATTTACTATGTTTTTGCCCATGCTTGTTTGTTGCAGTCTCTTCGTACGTGGTCCTGCATTTTTCTTCCTCCAACATTTTTCCCCTTTTTGGCTTTCTATTTGAACACACAAAACACTCATAGAGAAACAACAACATATAGTGTTTCTCTGAAACAAAACATACTTAGTTCACATATAAGGTTCAGATAAAGTCACATCAGATAAAATGAGTCACGCAGTACTTTAGACAGAAACCCAATCATGCATTAGATCTTTCTTAAGTCTACTTGATTAAAACCGAACAGTTGTTCGAACTCTAATCTGCTTGTTCTGACGGATCAGTAGTAGGCGAACGTTCTTCTTCTTCTACGTCTTCAGAATCCCTTTGACCATCACCATCATCACTGTGTTCTTCCACTACCTTTTGTTTTCCTTTGCTGGAAACAACTGCAGTCTCTCCCCCTGTGTGTTTAAACAGAAACTCAAAAATTTAGGAGAGAAAAATGAACAAACACATACCTGATCAGAGTAACGTGATGACAATTACTCTGAAACTCCGCATGAAGTGCATATTGCTGAGCCCAAATTTGACTAAGCGGCTTGGTGTTTCTCCTCAAGGACTGTTCCACTTGCAACAATATATGATCATGCTTCATCAACTGAGTGAACGTTGTGTTGCTCAATTGAGCTTTACTTAGCCTTGCTTGCTGAATTCGAGTTTCGATAGTCAGAAGGCATTGAATCACTTCTGTAATTTCTGAATCAGCCAAAATTTCAGGGTTCTGTCGCACAATCAGACTCTGAATGAGGCATGGATAAGGCAGAAGAAAGCGAACTCTCAGAAAAGTAGCTCGGGAAAGGATGCGGTTGTAGATAATGCATCCCAAATTTGACCTCTTCTTTTCGCAAAAGCTTAAAGATAAGCAGATCAAGTTCATCCTGAATCATATCGGATCGTCGTGTGGGCAACCAATTAGTTTTCCCAACTAACTACATTACACGACTTTCAAACTTGAGGTCTGAAATACCGATCTTCCTATTTCGTTCTGTCACATATTCATCAGTGAGAGCTATCTCCATATCCTCAAGTGTTGCATCGAAAGGAAATGCTACCAACCCTTGATCTAGATTATTAGGTATACCAAGCAGCATGTTGATGATCCCTGGAGAAAACTCAACAAACCTCCCTCTCACATATGCCTTGTGGTACATAGGATCACCAGAGATGTCAGTGCTTTGAGTATACCAAGACGCATAAGTACTTTGCTAAAGGAGCATGCATATGTCAAGGTTCTTGTAAGTTATCGCTCTTCAAACAAATCCCAGACTCCGTTTTTTCGGAAATCCATAACATTCACATTCCTCTCAACTATCACTTCTACTCTTTTGAATTTATCAAACCTCTTCTTGGTTTTCAGAGGATAAGAATTTTTCAGATAAGGTTTTGACACTTTTATCACCTCATTCAGTAGTTGATGCAGGAGGTTGGGATTATCACTTCTACTCCTCCGGAGCTTACTCCCTGAGCGGCTCGTGGCGTCTTCCGTACTTTGGTTCCTTTAGTGACCCATGAGATCTCTGATAACACGTATTTTGGGTGACGTTTTGATATAGGATGTCTAGCGTATTTCACTCTATTTTACATATTTGTAGGCATTCTAGGGCACATTTGGCTTCGATATTGCATGGTTGTGTTCTTTGGTGTTTAAACAGGTTTTCACGCATAAAAAGAGCAAAAGAAATGGAAAACATGGGCTACGGAACATCACGGACGAAACGGGAACATTTGGAGTGTTTCCAGGAAAAACGTGAAGCTTAGGAAACGTCAGATCTTGAAAATCCAATAATTTTCACTCTACAAGTCCAAATCATGCATTATTTATATCATTGGAAAGCTCTCTTCGATAACTACGCATAGACACCAAGATCACCCAAATTCGATATCGGAGCAGGAAGTTATGAACGAATTCGTGAAGCCCATCAAAACTTCTCAAAAACACGACAAGATCGGTTTAGGTTTAGCGAAACGATCGGTTCGACCCCCAGATTCGGGAAAACTTCCAATTTTGCCCAAACCGAAGTGAAATAAGAGGGAAAAGCCTCTAGGTCGAAAATAATTTAAGCCTTACACAGAGAATACACCCTAGAGCACACAAAAGGGGGCGATTATCAAGATGCAAGAGATTGGAGTAGAAGACGGAGAT